AAATAAATTATTTGATGATAAAAAATCAATCACTTATTTAAAATAGTAATATTTTTCTAATGAAATAGTTAATGGTAGCTAAATATTATTTTTTCCGGTCAAATTAAATTCCCCGCTATTTCCCATTTTTCGTGACTGGTCGACACACTATTGAATGTATTTGTAGAAACTAAAACCCGTCGAAGACGGGTACAACAGCTAGTTTTAAAATATTTAAGTAAAATTATTCAGTAATTAATAATTTATAAGTAATAATTTTATGATAGTTCTGAAATAATTAAGTTATTTAATAAGAAATTATAGAAAAAATTAACAAGTGCGAGTTGCACTCACACTGAAATGACGGGTTCCGTACACCAATTTTAAAATTACTTAGTACAAACAAAATTTTTTTCAAAATTTTTTTTCAAAAATTTCTTTAAATAACATTTTTTGCGATCAGCCTATAAAAATACACTAGTGTGCCAATTTTAAGCTGATTAGATCAAATAATGTAGAAGTTAAAAAAAAAACTTTTTACAAAAATCTTTTAGTTTTTCCTTGACATAACGCCATAAACATTATTACATAGCAAGTTCTTTATATTTTTCCTGTAATATTCGCGTAAAAATACACTAGTATGCCAAATTTTAACTCTCCGTGTTAAAATAGTTTAGAAGTTAAGGGGGGAGGAATTGTCACTTTTTATGCATTTTTGCCCAAAAATGGGGCCGTTCAAAAAATATGTAACGCTTTTGGGGGGAGGGGGGTCAAGCTATTTGTTACGGTCAGTAGAAAAAATAACGCTAATGTATACAACATTGCGTTACATGGGGGAGGGGGGGGGGTCCAAATTTCCGAAAAATAGCGTTACGTATTTTTTGAACGGCCCCAATCGTACAAATTCCTTGACAACACTATGACCATCAACGCCAAACAAATTCGATATATGTGACGCGTTCCCAAGAAAGGTACCTAAGAATCAAAAAATTTGAGGTTATGTTTTAAATTTTTTGAGTCAATTAATAATTAAAAATTGTTGGTCTTCAAGTCTTTATTATATTTAAAATATTTAATGAATATTGGTTTCAAATTCAAATAATTGAAAATGAACTTTTAATCAAGATAAATCTAACTCGAACCCAATCTATAATTCGTTTGCTTCTTAGGTACCTTTCTTGGGGTCGCGTCACATATTTTTCCTATAATCTTCATGTGAAAATGCAAATCTGTACCAAATTTGAGTTCTCTAGGTCAAATAGTTAATCCGCTGACACGAAATTGGCTAGAACGCAAGAGTCTCAATAGGGTTCCTTTGGTACACCGTAGCAATTGAATTGGGATTTTTTTACAATTTACTGTTCAAAAATGTCTATATGCCTATAATTTTTAACCGATTTGAGTGTTCTATGTTTTAAATTAAAGGGGAGACATTTTTGAACAGTAAATTATAAAAAAAATCCAACTGTGCGTAGGTGTACGGAACCCTAAAAATTGAAGGTTTTTGTCATTGAAATTCGTGGTAATTTCATAGTTCATGATTTCATGAGTCAAACAAAAAAGGCACCAAAATCCAGAATTTTCTTATGAATTCTAAAAATTTAATTTTTCCAGTATTTTTATTAGAAATCCCTGACTTTTCCCTAATTTTCCTGACCAATTTTACTTTCCCTGAATTCTCTGACTTCCCTGACCTGTTCCAATCCCTGAATCACTATTATTTTTATTTTTTTTACTCATTAAGAATTCAGTAATTTTTGCAGAACCGGAGTTTGTATACCATTAAAATACTAGTAAAATACTAGTAAAATACTAGTAATTAGAGGTGTGCAAAAAGCTCTAATCGAGTTTTTTGCACAACTCTACTAGTAATATTTATAGTTTTAAATCTAAAAATGACCAAGAATTAAAATAAGAGGATCTATTGACAATAAATCTTTTCACGATTTGGTTGAAAAATCAATTTGTGAAAAATCAGCAACTTCTTGCTTTGCACATACTTGTTAGGCTTGTCCAGGAATCACTTCTGAGGTCGAAAATTTAAAAACGCTTTTGGTTGATCATCAAATCGAAAAAATTACTTATAGTCAGTGGACAAGCACTGAGAGGTATGAGAAACAAAACTTTTCTATTATTTTTATATACAGGTAATTAAAATTCTTTTAATTTTACGAATACCTTTATAATTTACTCTACGAGAGTAAATATGGTTAAATTTTTTTTACAAACCTCATTCAGTGATAGTTTATAAGAAAAGTTTCGCCACCAACCAAAATCAAAACCAAATTTAAAAAGTTTTAGTGTTAAAATTGACAATAATTACGAGAATAAATCAGAACAAACGGGGTCAATTAACGGACACTTGGGACATCGAATTTTTTTTCTTTCATATAGCCAGTCTTGCCTACACTTTTGTGAAAGGCTCATAAGCCGAGAATTTTTCGTAATAAGATTAACGCTTCATAAAGAGTGGTTTCACTGCATTAGCTCGCAGAGAGCAGTGGCAAAGTAATTTTCAGTACGAAAAGCGCTCTTCAATAATTCAAAAGGTGCACTCGCGCCTTGGCAAGTTTCTAAGAATAAGGTTGATTTTCGCATCTAGTATTCCACTCTCTCCCCCTTTAGCAAAAGCATTGCTCACCTTAATATTTTAAGTTTGGACGAAATGTCTCATCTTACAATAGGATTCTGAGTAGATACATTTTGTATACAATTTAGAATGTACATATATCATTTACTAAGCACAGCATATGTCTACATTTATTTGTAAACTATTTATTTATGCATTATTGGTCACAAATTAATCAAACCTGACCATTTCCGAAATTTTATTTTTTTTAATTTAAATTTTTCAAAATTTATACGATTAATTGTTCCGAGTAAATCAGCGTATAGACATCCAAAAAATTAAATCCATCCTTTCCACAAAAAGGGCTCAATTGATGCTCACAATATATCCACTCTAACCCACCCAAAATGGTCCCTTTTTTAAAAAAGATTACTGGACTTGGTAAAGTTACTAAATTCTATAGCAGCACCAGGGCAGTCGAGCGCCTAAACCTTATTTCTTTTTAATTCCATCTATCCTTATATTTTAGGCCCATCGTCATTGTTTGTCATAGGAATTGATATAACCATCAATGGTAAAATGTCTCGTGAAAGCTCTCACAACCGCACCTAAAAGCGCCTTCGAATCATCGCAGGTAACAGTTTTTGGATGAGATGCACCTAAACGCACCCATTCCAACAAAAAGTATAAAATCGAAATTCTGTTTGTGGCTTTCCGTTAACATTTGACCAACACTTATTTGTCCAGTGGGGGTATTTATTACAATTGTATATAACAATTGTTTTAGACTTTAGTCCTTCCACGATCTTTACATTATACACAAGAGAACCTGAAGCATCAATGTCTACTTCTGCTTAATTCATTTTGGAATATTCCAAGTAAATGTGTATTTGTTAATTTGTCCAAAAGTGAACCGTAAAGGGACTATGGCTGATACAGTCAGGTCTCCAAACTGTAACATTTGAAACTGCGGCAAACTTCAAACTGTAACAACTAGTCACGCATCGTCATCAACTCGTCGGTTGGATGCAGAAAGGTGCTAATTCAGACTAGTCGTGAAAAACGTGCGGATTCAAAAAACATTTGATAAACCTGCCATTCGAGTTCTTTTTTTCTATTTTAGGTTGACACTTGGCAGTACAGAAAAAATTTGAAGCATAGGTTATAAAGTTATACAAAAATTATTTTTCTAGTTGCATTTTGCATAATTGTTATTTTTCTTTGAAAAAGGAATATTTTTACTAATTTATTGAATTAATTTGTTGACTATTTATTATTTGATGGACAACTTCTTTCTTGTACCTAAAATAAAAAAATGAACAACAATTATGAGTTGGCATGTTTTCCAAATCTAAGCTCAAATGGCAGATTTCTCAAATGTTTTTTGAAACGTCACGTTTTTCACGACTAGTCTGAAGTGGCACCTTTCTGCACCCAACCGACGAACTATCAGTGCTGTACTCTTAAGGAGCAATATATTGAGGTGTGTTACAGTTTCAAGTCCTGGAATATGGTTAATTTCAGGCCTTGTTACAGTTTGGAGACCTGACTGTAATATATTATATGCATAAGTGTTTGGTTCCCTCTAAAATTGAAAAGGTAATCATGCAAACATTTTTTTAAAATAGGAATCAACTTACAAGGCAATAAATATTATGCTTTTTAGTAGATCAACTAAGCCGTTATCATTTACCGTAATTGCTCGAGCTTTATCAGTTGTAATACAGGATCATTTATCGAAACTACTAATAAATTATGACATTTCTTCTTTTAGAGTATTAAAACTATCCACCCCTTTCGTTCTTCCTGTCAAAGCACTTATTGATATTAGTTCTTCGTTTACAGTAACATCATTTTTAAGTACGCGAACAAAAGTTAGCAACTGGCTCAGTTCTGTAATATCCGTACATTCATCTAAGTGTAAAGAAAAGTAGGAACAATTCTCTATTAAATGTCTGAAAAAAATTCTTACAAATGAATTCATAAATTATTATGATATTCATAAATTATTATGATATTCATAAATTATTATTATCAATATTGACAATAGATGATAAAGTAGAAAGTGCTTCTTTAATTTTATTTTCTATTAAAATTTTACTTTGTGTTTTCAAACGTTCTTTGTAATTTTTCAATAATTATAATTTTTTGACTTTATATTTATTCTCATGAAAATGTGTGTAATGACGATTTATATTAAATTTTCTTATTATCTTGAATTCTCGTTCACAAATAACACACTGGGCAACATTACTTTTATTCAGAGAAACTAAAATATAGCTCCGGCAAAATAATTTGTTATTAATGAAACTTAGAGGATTTCAAAAGGTTGTTCATAATATATTTCCATAATTTCCCCGGATACTGGTAATTATAATTATTTTCGGTTTTTTCATCAAGGACTGAAAATATTAAAGCCTATAGGGTAGTCTGTTTGAGAAATAAAATATTTTATTACTTTTTAACATTTAAATTTAACAAATAAGATATAGTATTAAAGCTACAATTAAATAGATACATAAAGAAGTGTTTTTACAACTTCATTGTCAGTCATTGCTCCAGAGATTCACACTGAAAATGCAAAGGGTTTTCTTAAAACCAAATTAGCGTACTTTGTTAAAAAGTTTCATAATTTTCTTATACCAATTATATTTATCATTTTCACTGGGCACATACTCTAAAATTACAATTAAAACACCAAGTACAGTTTCAATACTTTCAATTCTAAATTTACTTCCAGGTAAAAGGATTACTATATTTTCTACAGTCAAACATGATTCTTTTATTTTTGCTCTTACATAGGGAGTAGGAAGTTTAAATTCATACAAAATATTTATAAATCCCTTTGCCGGAGTTGTGGCCAATGTCAAGGCGGATTCTTTACTTACTATCGTCGTAGTAAATTTCTGTAAAGTAATCTGTCTTCCAATAGTTAACGTGCTTTCAACAATTTCTTCAGGTTTAGATTCAAATTTAAATAATTCTTTGTCAAATTCTTCGTCTGGATCGTCGGATTGCCTTATTGCCAATTTATATAATGCTGTTTTCATTTGTTTCGCTTCAAATGTATCTCTTGTTATTCTCGTGTATCCAGTTGTCGCAAAGTTTCGTATGGCATAGAAATCTTCAAATGTTGCAACATAACTTGTCTGCTGATTGTTAAAATCTTTAATTATATTCTTCATTGGTTCTTCAATTCCAATTCTTTTCCTTTCTCTGTATGTATAAATTGAAGAAATTCTGAACGTGCCATTAAAGACTGATAAATTATTAATGTCAAGAGAAAATTGGTATCTTAATTTAGAAAGAAGAAGGGAGTTACCTATTATGTATTGTTCGCCCCACGCGGGAATTGTTAAATTCGTATTATTTGTCCACTCTTCTACGAATTGTAAGCAAATGCTGTTTTTATCTGGAAATGTATATTTTCCTATTGTTTCCAATACCTGATCGTGTGTAAGATTCGCGTTCCTTGACAAGGCTAATTTTATACATGCATCTAGATTCCACCTTTTACGAATGCCACGTGCATGTCGTGTACAACTCACTAAAGGTATTGAATCAATGTTACAATCTCTAATATTATATTCATGTACAGATAATCCTGCAAACCATCTTCTAGCCACTACAGATTGAAGCTGATTGTTCCTGTCATACAGTATACGTGTAGGCTCTTCAGTTTGCTCATTTTTAAAATTAACTTCAAAGTATATCTTTTCAACATCTGTTCCATAATTTAGAGGTGCAGCAAATATTTGTTTTTTGAATTGATAATCAGTTCGTAATTGTACAGTGTAATTATACAAAAAGGCAAATCTATAACCATAACCAGTATCTTCATTGGCATTTTCAGTTTTAATAAACACATTTTGATTCCGTTTCTCTGGAATGTGACCAATGATTTTATAGTTACTTTTTTTAAATATTTTCATTTTATTAAGAATATTTATTACAAACGAGAAGGAATTATTAACGCCCTGTTTTAGAGTATTAATGACGGTTTGCATTAAATCTATATCTTCTTCAGTCAGGTAGGTGAGATCAAATCCAGGTTCTTCCATATGCAATACAAGTTTTTCCATAAGGCCATCAATATCTTCATTTGCTGCAGTAACATTATATTTCTGACTAATTGTTAAAAAGAGTTGGGCACTTTTAAATGTTGTGCTAACTGTTTTCAAGAAAGATCTTATGTCTGAGTTGGTCAATTCAAAAGAAATATCTTCATCCCACTGATGCAAAAAATTTATTTCATCAAGTTCACAGAAATTTTTGTTAACTGTTTCTGTGTTTTCTGGTTTTTCAATGCACGAATAGAACGGCATCAAGGATAACCCGAATTCTCTCCACCATTCGCCTAGTGAAAGATCTGTGCCAGAATGCTTGAGATAAGATGTTAACCTTTTTACTTTAAAGGTCATAAAATTTTCCCAGAATACGTCCATAGTCTGATTGGTTGACTTTAAATTTACTCGATGATACCGATGACTCAATAACATGTCAACACTCAGGCCAGTTTTTAGTCGAAAGTCCGTAGGATCATCAGCTTCTTTAATTAATGTCACAGTGTAATTTTTTCTAATTAATGCATAGAAATCTGCTGTCGAATTCTTAGGATAATAAATAACAATCAAATCGTAAGATATTCGTGTATTAATATCAAATACACCTGAAACTACTTTATCATCCGGAGCTAATAATTGTATAACTACTTTGCTGTCATTTAAGTAACTTAGAAAAGTTTCTCCGAATGATTGTTGCATTATTTTCATATCATGAATTTTATACATGTCAGCTACTTTGTTCACGTTATGCATAAACGCTTCGTTTAGATTCGGTAAAAAATATTCTTTTCCACATTGAGAGTGTCCTGGAAAGTACAAATATTCTCTCACAGTCTCTTTTATTTCTTTCTTATTCAGGTGTTTGCAGTGAATATCTAGAATGGATTTAGCTACTGCCGGATAACTCCTAAAACCTAATAACGCATTGTGTATTTGATACTTGGTATCTTTCTCAAATTTGCTTTTTATTTCATTAAGAGTTCCATCTAGATATGAATAAAACTGAAGAAACGCTACTTTCCAGAAGCTAGTATCATAGATGACATTTCTAACATTTTTCTTATCAAGGTAAACGTAATAAAAAAGAGCTGGGAGAGCAAAAGCTTTAAAGCTTACAGAATGTATATTTTTACTGTTTAGGGTATTTCTTAAAAGATGACCCATTGCCAAATATTGTTCAAATAATTTCTCTTGATGATGGTCAGCATTACTGAAGTCCTGCGACTCAGCGTAGAAAGCAGTAGTTGGTCTACCAGTTTGAAGGAATATTGAGCCGGCCTGCGCGTAAATGTAATCAATAGACAAAATATTAAAATCAGATTTAGCTTGAGGAAATATTGGCAGTATTATATAAGTAAATATTTTCCCTACTGCTAAATTAGAAAGTTTGGAATTTTCGCCATACTCATTTTCAAATTTCGCATCTTTTAGACTAGCCACTATTTGCTAGAGCAAAGAATTTAATTGAAAACATTTAGTTTCTTGAACAACGCCTGCTAAAAAACCGTAAATATTCTCATATTTGTCAAATACAAGAGAACTAATAATATACTCAAACATTGCATTTACAAAGATTACATCCAATTTTTCAAAACTATTTTCTCCATATAGGTCAGTGCCTTGCAATAATTTTCTTACTAATCTGACTTTCATTACTTCATTATCATTATTATCTTCTAAATAGTTATAGAGTGCGTTGACCACAGGGATTTGTTTATTTTGATCCTCTTCCATTAAATACTTTTCAAGAAATAAGAAATCACTGAGTGAGTTCAAGTAACTAAAAATGGATACAAACTGCACTGCTTCCAGTGGATTCGCATGTAGAAATTTATCCATTTTTATTTTATTATATTATTATTTAAATATTATCTTCTTATTGTAGATGTTTTTTAAACAGTAGAAGGAACTAGAGGTGTAGAAAGTCCGTCAAGGGAAGATATGCTCTGAAAAAAATGTTTCAAAATAAATTTATTTATCTAATTTGTTATATTCCAATAGATATTTGTGTGCTTTTTAAAATTAAAAGAATCCTATTGTTTAGAAAAAATAGAATCCCATAAATATTGCAATAGGAAATAGTAAAGAAGAATACCGTTTAATGAATAAAAGTATGGAATATAAAATTATTGTTTGCAGGATGATTTGAGAATTTTTATCATTTATTTATCTCTGATGCAATTTTATTTGTGAAAAAAAACACTTTTGAAAAGAACACTGTTTTTGAAAACATTAAATTTCAATAATTCATACCTATATAATTTCTGTAATTTCCATCAAATCTCAAAATAAAAAAAGACGTATTCATTTTTTTCTGTACAGAATGCTTTAAAAATTATTCTAACCAAATCTTATTTTTGAAGAAAAACATTGTAGAGAATGCCTCGTATAATTTAAAGAGGCTATAGGTCCCTTTTTTCATATAGTGTCACAAATGAAATGCATATTCATATTTTAAAGAATTTAAAATATTTACGCTATATACCGAAGTGGTCAAATTGTAGAGCAGACGTGCTGCTGGTGCAAGCGGTGGCTCAAATAATTATTATTACTAATTTCACTATCGTATTATTTATTCTAAAATAATTTACCTAGGTCCGCCAAGGGTCCTGGTGGAATGTTGACCAACTAGAAAATTCCATTAGTAAGAAAAGGACGAAAATACGTCTATCCTTTTCTTACTAATGGAATTTTCTAGTCAGTCCACATGCCATCAAAACTCTTGCCGGATCTAGATAAATTATCTTAGATTTATTGAACAATTATAACTTTTCGAAAACTGTTATTTTAATTAAAAATAATTTTAAAAAGTATAAACTTTACCTGTTTTAAGAAATTTTCTATTCATTTATTGACACAACATTTTGAAGCACAACTTCACTCAGAACTTGCTTATATATTAATCCAGACATGTTGGTTGAGTAATTTTCCTATATTTATAATGGAAGTTTTTTCAATTATTTTATTGATACAGTTTTTTCTTATTTACTACATTACAAAACTTTTAACTCTTATTATTTTCGAATATTTCTTAAACCTCATAATAAAAATATTTAAATATTAGTTCTAGGTTTCTGTAATAACTATGATATTTGTATAGAATTATGAACATAGCGATATTCGTTAAGTTCATTAATACACTTCCGTCTGGTCAAAATATCATATTCGTTCCAAAAAGTTCTAAAAACGTTATAAGAACTATTTTGGAATATTTTTAATTATTTATTTTTCCAAATTTTTTGTCAAATGTAAATTTTTAAATTAAATTATTATATTCTTAATTTCTTATATAACAAGTTTCTAAATAATTAAATAAGTAAGCAATAAGTAAACAAGTAGGTAAGCCACCATTGAAGTAAGAATGTAAACAAGAAGGAAATAACTAGCTTACGTGTCAAAAATTACTAATAAATTTAATCCATATAGACAACGAAAATGGAACTTTCTGAAGAATCACTTTTACCTATATATAGTATATATCCACGTTTAATTGATAAAATAAAGTAAAAAACTATTGAAATAGAAAAATTAGAAATGTCATTTAAATAGACCTGGGAAATCGGACAAAAAACATTCAAATGCATGGATAAGGTTTCTGTCCATATAATTTCAGCAGAGTTCTGCTACTTGCAATATTTCAATAAAATAGAAATTCTATTTTTAAAGAATTCTATAAAATGGTAATTCGGGAAAATGGAAATTCTGATAATTTAAAATCAGGCGAAGTGGTAATCCTGATATTTAAAAACTCAACGAAGTAGAAATTCTATATTGAATAAGTATTCTATTTAATGATTCAATTAAAAATTACCTTAATAATTAAATAGATTGCACAATGTGAAATTTCTGTAATCTATTAATTCTACTTCATAAATATTGGCTAAAAATATACATTCTATAATTTGGGATACTATGCCACAAATATTCAAATAAGTTCAGTGTTCTTTGATAACAGTTGAATCATCATTATAAAACAGAATATAATACATATTAATAATCAGAACAAGGAACAACGCTCTTTTGAACTAATATTTAAACTACTAAATATTAATAAAATATTTGAGAATTGAAAAACAGCTGGAATAGTAATAATTGAAGGCACGTGTCAAAGAGCACGTTGAATGAGCATGTTTAATAAATAAAAATTAAATTATAATTAAAATAGAAAAGTAAAATATATCTATGATTTATAAAAATTATAAAAATTTAAATAAAATTATAAAAAATCATGTATTGTCAATTATACAGTGTTACAAACAAAATGTTGATGTAGTGATTACTAAAAAATTCTTGTGTTTATTGAAACTTCAGGTGTTATTTTTACGCAATGTCAATTAATCGAACTGTATTTATAACGAAATGCCATTTTCACAAACTGACATTTTAACGAATTTTCATCTGTCCAAATCGTCATTTTTGCGAATTGTCATTTGTTCGAAGCGACACCATTACGAATTGTCACTTTTGCAAAATATTATTTTTACGAATTGCTTCTTTAGCGAATTGGCAATTTTACTAATTTTCACATTTTCGAATTACCATTTCTACGAATTGTCACTTTTGCGACAGATTATTTTTACGAATCGATATTGTTGCGAAATATCATTTATCCGAATTGACACTTATGCCAATTGTCATTTTTGCAAACAGCGATTCGCAAATGTGACCTTTCGCAACAATCACGATTCATAAAAATGAAAATTCGTAAAAATATTCTGTCGCAAAAGTGACAATTCGTAATAATGACATTTTGTAAAGATGCCATTTCGAAAAAGTGGAAATTTGTAAAATTGACAATTCGATAAATAGGCAGTTTGTACAAATGATATTTCGCTTAAGTGACGATTTGTAAAATTGTCGTTTTATTCAAATGACAATTGGTATGAATGACGATTCGTAAAAAGGACAATTCGCATAAATAACAATTCAGAAAGGTGACAATTCGTAAAAATGTCTTTTTTGAGAAATATCAATTTGAGAAAATTCCTTTTTAAAAAAACGTTAATTCGATGCAGTAATAATGCCTACAAATAACACTTCGAAATAATGTCTATAGGGATACCATGGTAAAAATTTTAAATTTCATACAATCTTTGCTTTAATTTTCCAACGAGATTTACTAAAATACCGCGTATCATAACTAGAAAATGGTCTGACCGGATAAGAGCTGTGGTTATTAAAGGCAGCTAATGTTCCCTCGACCATAGGACGGTGAAGATTAAGCGATGGTAATTATCGATTAAAGTTTCAAGATTTCACAGAAGCTTACTTGGTAACACCCTTCTGCTTTCAGTAACTGCTTTTTTTCCTTTTAGGATCGACTTGTTATTTTTTAATTCCCTCCTACTTCAAAACAAGGTTAAATATCTTATTCTACTAAATTTAATTTTTTAAATAATTTAAAAGATGAAAACATTTTTGATTTTAAATATTGTTCTATTGAAAAAATTGAAGCAGATATGTCCACAACCATATCTTCTTGTACATAATTTGATACATAAATTTATACACAAGCATGTACAGTAAAATACAGTAGAATATCAACTCTTACACACGAGTTCGTGTAACAGAAACTGTGAAAATGAACAGGAAATTGTTTTATTAGTAAAGTTTCTTTTTGCAATAAGCTAGAGTCAACTTTGATTATCTTTATAAATGAGGCTTCATTCTTGGGTTTTGTTAAAATATTTTTAAGCCAAGGCGTCATAGGCTGTTTCTGTTGATGAAATATCAAGGCTTTGAACAATATTAAGAGGTTTTAATGTATGCAATGACGTTACAAGAGAATCATAAAGTTCATAACTGCTATCACGTTATCATCCAAATTTTGCTACCTCCTTCACTTAAAACTATCCTTACCTTATTTGTTAATGACGATTTTTAGTAGTAATTTTTTAGTGCATTTCATGATTCCCTTAATGTCGTGGCATTCATGGTGTGCATTAATTGATTATCTCCAACTAAGATCCAATTTTCGCACGTGCCTTGTCGTCCTTCTTCTTCCACGCAGCTAATTAGGTGGTTTCTGTATCAGGCGGTATTTCATCTGTTATCACTTACCACAGATTGTCATCAATCATCATAAACTTCATTTTGTAACAACACAAAAGATAATTCCCACCATTTATCTTTAATTGTTAATGTCACAGAACTGAGAGTGTTATAAGAAAATATCAATAATTTCGTTACTTACTTAATTATTATTTTCACTACCTTTCACTACTGTCACCTACTTGCATCTAGACATTCCCAGATGTTATTTCAGCATCTCTTGGACTTCGTCACCTTCCTGCTTTTATTCTTTGCGAGCTGTTGTTCTAGTTAGAATCCCCTAAATTTTAGATCAAAACTACTCCTTTTGTTGTTGCTTCCACAACTTCTGTATTTTTGGCGTCGGGATTCACATCCTTGCGAAGCTCTATTAGAATTAGAAAATATTGTGAAAGAAATGTATATTTAAAAAGACCTGAAAGAATCTAAAAAGGTAGTTTAAAAGACGTTTTAAAAACGTCTTCAAAACGTACTTTAGGCTTCTTTTGGAACAGAGATAGAATGTCTTATAGATATCTTTTAGTTGTCTTTATGTCTTCGAGACATAATAGTTATTGTCTTCAGATGACTTCGGACAAAAAAGACGTCCTTATGCCCAATGGGAAGTACTTTAAAATATTTATATGATCATAAAAACATGTTTTAAAGCATCTGTGTGATCGGATATTTCGGCAGCTTTAAAAATATAATATCTTCTCCAGACTCAGAGTTTGAAGTGATTACCCTCACCGAACACTCCTTACTGTGCACTTTCCGAAATTCCCAGTAAGCACGTCCTTTGCATCTTCTTGACCGCAAATATACAAAAACCATCAAAAATAAATTTATTTCTCACTATTTTCGCCATTGCGCTAATCAACTAAGAATTTGGAAAGAAATTATAAAGGTACACTAACAAACAATTTTTATACACCGAGAAAACTCGAGGGTCAAAAATAGTTCCTTTAACTCTCTATTTTTCTCTGTGTAGTCTTACATCTGTTACGAATAATATTTATGGTGGTTGCCAAGATAATAAGCTTTAAAAAAATGACATTCGGTCATTTTGGATTCGGTAAAACGGTCTTCAGAAAAAAAATTTTCTGTGTGAAAAGAATGTTCGCGAAAAAGTAAGGTAATCAGTTCATCCATATCTCATGCAACAATATATAGCTCACACATTCGTAGTATTATGAAATTGCTTCCATATGAAAAGTTGTCTTTTCCATTTCATTGGATAAGACAATATTATGCACAACAATATTTATATGGATACCTGAACCATTACATTTATTTTTGTGTATCATCCATACAGTTTAGTTTAATAGTTAAATGTTAAATTTATTTTAACAAATTATTGCTTTATATTAATTAAAAATGATTAATACTGAAATAATTTTCAAAATTAATAATTTATTGTTGTTATGCCACTGAATACGAATCTCGTTGACGACAGTTAACACTGGTTTACAGTAAAATTGCCTATCGAACTAAACATTTTTTTCCATTATTAGGTGTTCTTTTAGTAACAAAATTAGAGTCTTAAATTTTTTTTTCGTGCAGTTTTGTAGCAGCAAATTTTGCATTTTTAACGTGTGACGTCAATTAAACTCACCTGTAGGAATAGCAGCTTGTCAAAATTTATGGGATAAGGTGCCGTTGAAAACGTAATTAAATTGTCAAAATGGCGCATACAATATGGCGGACGACATTTTTAAAAATTCATCGGATTCATTTGAAACTCGTTACTCGAGGGTTTTTGCTAATTACCAAAAACTTTTTAAACGATAATAAATACAAAACTTTACTTCCGCAGACAGCTGGTAAGTATATTACGTTACTTACGACCACAGAGTGTACCACATAGAGGTATACAGTCGGATTTTACACTCCTTTATTTTTTTTGTTTTTTTTATTTTTTTTTTGTTCTTATATTGGATCCGCCATTTTCAAAACCGATATTACATTTTTAATGTACAACATCAATAAAAATTACTGGTTGATTGATAATGTTTTAACGTCCGTATCTTTAATTTGTTGATTAATTTTAATTTGTTTTAATTTAATTCGTTAATCGACAAAATTACTGGTTCATATATTGGATCCGCCATTTTCCAAACTGATATTACATTTTTAATCCACGACATCAATAAACTCCAAGTAACAAGTTTTAACAACCACATTGTATTTTAAAAATCTGATGCTAAATTCGTAATCAGCGACCCCGAAAACCCCTGAGAATTAATTTGTAGACAAATCTGTGTGTTTTTGTAGTCAAAACTCTGCTTGCGTCTACTAACCTAGGTTAATGCAGCAAATATTATTTTATTCCTGAACTATCCTAAATTTTTTTGGCCTGCAAATGTATCTAACTTTTTTTTATAAAAGAAAATTGAACTTTTAAAGTCAATTCTGAAAGGATTTTAAATGTCATTTTATAATATTTTAAGGTCATTAAAAATTTTTAATGATTTTTTTATAAAACAAATTATAATTTTTCCAAAAAATTAACAAATTAAAAAAATTCCAGTGATTTTTGAAAGATAAGCTCTTTAATATCAAATTAATCAAATTTGATTTATTGAAAACAATATAATTATTTGAAGAGATGAAGAGAAATTAAAATAAAAAAATTACGTTTGGGGAAATTTACAAATGTCATGTTGAAAATAGATTTAGTTATAGTTTTTTTTCCTTCACTAGATTTAGTTAGTCAATCTTTATTAAAAATTGTTGTTAAAATTTATTTTCTTTCAGTCTGTTAACACCACAGGAAGAGCAAAAAACGGTTCTGTGGCTTTCACACACTGGGTTCTTGTTTTTAATAGCAAAGGAAATGCTATCAATTTTTATACTGAAAATAATTGCAAATTATACTTCAGTAATGATGATGAATATATAAATGCCATGAAAAAATTATATTGTCCATGAAAAAGTAATAATTGTCAAGTTTTTTAATCTTCGAAAAGATGACTACAGAACATTTACGTTGCAGAGCTAGGAAGTTAAAAATGTCAAAAAATGTGGTACAAATTTGTATTTTCTGAATGGCTCCTTTTCTCTCTAAATCTGAATATGTGAAAATTCACATAGTTGTAACTTATAAGTCGTTCTCTCGATCAATAAGTGGATAAACACTTATAATATGTGGAATTTCACTCAGAATAAGTGTAAAATTGATATATTTTAAAGTGTATATGGGTGATTTTCCTGAAAGGGACCCTTTTTTTTGAATTACCAAAAAATCAAATTATTTTTTTTTATTTTTATTTTCATAAATAAGTTTTGAAGATGTTAAAAGATAAAAATATAAGTTGAGCAAAAAGTAATTTTCATAAATACCCTCTCCAGCAACATTTTATTATCATGTGTTCTAGAGGTTAAGTATACTTAATTATAACTTTTAAAATAATGATTTTGTAAAAAAAGCTCGATAGAAATATTTTGTTTTAAATAATAAATTGTTATGCTTTAATTGATTATACTTTTTGCTTGTATATATACATTGTATATATATATATATATATACAAAACGCCTATCAAATATAAAAAAGACTTCGTAGATGAATTAATAATTTAATGAAAAAATTCTCGTTTTTTCTAATTTTAAAAATATTACATTTTTTGTAAACAATATTTTTAGTTTTAATCATCAAATGTAGAAATTTAACCATGGCCCAAATCAGGGCTAGATCTTTTGATCATTGTGTAGGCCATAACATGGCATGAACATCTGGCAAGACTTGGGCCCGATCTGGGAAGGTGTTTCATGCCATGTTATGGCCTACGTATGGCAATTTCTACACGGGTATTTGAATTTTTTGTCTCATTGATAATACTATTTTAATTAATAATTTCAATAACTTTTTTTATCATATTTTAAACAAATATAAGTGAAAAATAAACGTTAGATTCTAAGCTTATTAATTTGATATATTATAAATATGTTGAAATTATTTAATTACGTTAAAATATAATTATTGTCATATTGTACATTTTCGGGGTCGCTGAATTCAAATCTGTGACCGAAACTTCAAAATTCAAAATGGCGACTTTAAAATGGCGACCAAAAAAAATTTAAAAGTTAACGACTTCCTTAACTTTAAAATTTTTTTAGTTGCTATTTTGAATTTTCGACCACAGATTTGTATTCAGCGACCCCGAAAACTCCCGAGTAGGAATTTTCAGACATATTCGTTAACTTAAAAATTTGTTTGGTCGTCATTTTAAAGGTGCCATTTTGAATTTTTGAATTTTCGACAGATTCGTTAATTTTTCAATGTCTTTTTTTTCGATGGCCCTATAGAGGACATGGACACACAGGGCACGACATTTTTGTGGCTCTATAGAGGTCAGTGACAGTGAAGGGGTTAACTAGAAAGAACTTTAAATATAAACATTAGAAGATTATATAAAGATAGATAAATCTTTGTAGATAATAAATAAATTTTTCAAAAATTTGAAACCTGATAGAATATCAATAAAAAATTAATGTAAATAATGGACCTCATGATGGACACACGTGAAGTGGTGCCTTTCAGGAGAATCACTCATATGCACATATTGACCGAGAGAGCGACTTATAACATATATATTAGTGAAATTTCACAAAAGATTTAGAGACTATAGTTTGTTTTAAGAGCAGGTGAAACATGTTAAAGCAGATATTTTTCTTAGTGAATATTGGGAGAATTAATTGTACTGTAAATTAAATATATCATAATGTATTAATAGATAAAATCTAAACATTATATCATTCAAATAATTGCAAAAATATTCGATCATTATAAAGAGTGAGGAAGTAGAGGAAGATTGATTTTTTTAAACTTCCTATGTGATTTATTATAATTTTTGAACTACAAATCCAATTACAATTCAATTTCATTCATTATTGGAAAGATTTCCTTATTTAAAAGTACTGTAATTAATGTATTTAAAATTCCAATGTTTACATAATTTAAAAGTATCATTATATAATTTTTTTTCAATACAAACTTTTTTATTGTCAATTTACATGACACTCCCTTTACCTATTACTACAGCGGCACTTAATCTGCAACACACGGGTATCTACCTGCAAATTAAACGAGACACATGCGTGTACACGGATTTAATGCAGTTTGTGCTATAATAGTTAAGAGACAACCGACGGTGGCGCCGTTTATTCGACCGATAGACCCCGAGCGTCGCGACGCTTCAGTTTGACCCGCACACTCGTTGCAATTGGTTGTGTCGCGTTAACGATGAAGTTTTCGTATGACAATACAAAAATTACTTTACTCACCCGGTGAGCAAGAAAATTTCGTGTTTGATAGAAAAAACAATAGACATTAATCAATAAACAATAATCAGTTTACAAATAGACAGCGATTATACACTCAGTTATTAAAGTGTTTGAAGCACGTGTTTTCTTCTCCATGCTTCAGAAAAGCGATAAAAAATACCTGTATGAAAATGTGATCACTAGTTTATTAATTTTAAACATTTTCGATATATTTTATGTTTTTATTTTTTTTCAATGTTTGCTTTAAAATTCAAAAAACTTGATTTATTAATTAAAACAATTTTGAAATATTTTTAATAATCAGAATTTAAAACTTTTATGATTTTAAGTAATCCGTGGTCCTAATTGAAGTTTTCTTATTCTTCTATTATTAATATGTTTGCTTACTGACCCTATATATTAATTTCGCGTATAAATTTTATTATTTCATCGATTAAAATTCAGATGTTAAAGTTTGTATGAATTTAATAATTATAGGCCGAATGTAAGAGAAAATTATGAATCAAATAATATGTATTAGAAGAGCTTGATTTTCTTCTTTTTGGATAGATTTATCTAAAATTTCCGTAACTTGATATTAAAATAAAACCGTTTTGGTTAAAATTTTTTTAAATTATTAAGTCACAGCGCTTATGCACGAAAGGGCATTTAAATTAAATAAATAAGTTCGAGATTAAAGAAGAATTTATTAAAATTGCGATGGTTCACTAACAGTGACAACGGAGAATCAAATAGGCTAAAATTTATTTTTTATGTTAAAAAATCTATCGGGGAATAAAAAATAAAAAAATCAATATAAAAAATTACATTGTTAAATTAATAAGGAGGACTAACAAATATAGGTAAGGTTACACATTTCAATGAATATATAAGACATTACTTCCGAAATCGAATCAAGAAACTTCATTGTTATATAGTAAATAAATCATTTGTTATTCATAACCATTTTAATTTGGTTTTATTTGGTATCGAAATTTAAAGTAAATATATAATTAAAATTGATCGTATCTCCCTAAGAGTAATTTTTTAACATTTTTTTTAAACCTTTTTCTGATTATTTTTTTCTAAATTTTATTTTTCTGAATAATATTTCGGAATGCAATGAATTTATTTTATTGTGACATTCAATTTGCAATACTCTTCATTCTATAAAATTTGTATCCATATATAATTTTTAGTTCAATTAACATTGTACTCTTTTAAATTTTAAAGTACTTATTTCTCATTGAAGTAAAAAGTTATTAATTAAAAGTACACTATTTATAAAACAGAAAACTGCATTCTTCAATCCTTCGAAACTCTCGGACATACTGTACTTTGAATTTAAACCAATTTCTGTCAAAGTACAAAATAAAAATACATTTGTGTCTTCAATATTAAAACATTTATTTGTATATGAAATATTTTAAATTATCAAGAAACTTGGAAAAATTAGTAGATGAAGAAATTTATTATTAGGAAAAATGTATTAGAAATATACATTTTCGGAAATTAAAATATTAAGAAAATCAGTAGGGAATCATATTCTACATTATTTTCCAAATTGTAAAACATGAGTATTATATTAATTGCAAAGAATTTTTTTTCACATAATGCTTATAATTTTTTATTTTAATATTATTTTTACCAATTTTTATCTACATTTATTAACATTGTTTCATTTCTTTATTTTTATTTTTTAGGGAAATATGTTCATAGGAAAATACAATCTATTATTGTGAAAAGTGTCTACCAATCCAAATGTGGTGAAAATGATTACAATGATAAAAATAACGTTTGAATATGGATTTAAAGTGAAACTTTAATAAAATCTATCTAATAAAAGAATGAAATAATTCCTTTTTAATTCTTTTTTCTAATGTTCAAGAAATAGGTATAAAAACTTTTAAAAAATGAAAGGTAGAAATTTTTTTAATTAAAATATTTATTTATTTATTTAAGTAGTAAACGGGACTATCCCCTTTCGTACAAATATTTGAGTAATAATTCCAAATAAAGTTGAAAGTAAGTTTAATTTTCAATTGTCTAGTAATATTTTGTACTTATGAAAATTTTAAAATATGTTTTTGGTTAAAAAACTCAATTAAATATTTTATTCGAAAATTTCAAATATTTAAGGAGTAACACCACTCTATACTCTGTCCAACGAGAGAATACCCTCGTAAAATGACGAGTTTTCGTCAATTTCGCGCAGATATCATAAAAGTGATAGAGTTGGCGTGGCTTTCAAAATAGGGCCGCCTTTTTTGAAAAAAAACTTTGGCTAGAACATATGGTTTAAATTGTCTCCTTCGGTCCCCTTTCAGGTCGAGCGTTCACAGGTCTAAGTTTATGGAGGTTCTAATAAACAGCACGTTACAGTGTAATAAAAAATTAGAAATTTGTTAATATTATAGATATTTTGTTTTGAATAATATATTCGGAATCTGCAAATTCTCACGATTTTAATGATATGTAATTATTTTGATATAAATGAAAGTAAAGTCATGCACTTCTTTTTAAAGTAAAGTTAGCATTTTTTGACATTTTATCTCAGGATCGCAATTTTTTCCTTAAATCCTTCATTTTGGGGTAATAAAGTACCTAAATCAGTTTTTTGCAAATTTCCGCCTTCCATTACATGTTAACCTTGAAAGTAGTCTCTCTTAATTTGAATCAGTTAAAAATCGTGGTTTTAACTGACAATCAGTGACTGACTTTTTGCTTCTGAATCAATTAAAAATAACTGATTTTCAGTAAAAAAATAACTAATTTTTAGTAAAAAAAAAATAATGTAACCTACATTAATAACACAGGCAGACAAAATTTTATTAATTGCATGTTGACTAAAATGTTATAGCCGATTCTTATAGGATTTTGTCCGTAGAATCCGAATTTGACCTTGAAAATATTGGATTGGCTTTAGTTTTCAATCAACTTACGTTTCAATACGCCAAATACGCATTTTTTGCATTTTTTGAATGGATGTAAAACCATACACCAAAACAGTAAGTTTTTCCGCGTAGGACCAAATTAAAGCTTAAATACTGCTTTTTAATATCCAAAAACAAAAAATTTAATTTATATACAAATTTAACCTTTAATGTCCAATTAGACATACGCTGTTCCATAAACGTAATAAAAATAACATTACTTTTGACCAGGTAAGTAAATTTAAGTAAAAATTAGTCTCCCGGGGACTTTTTGTGGTCGCTGTTTATAAATCTGCTATGAAATATAAAAATAAAAATGGCGGACCAATTTTAAAAAATATTTTACACCTTTATGATAAAAATGTAAAATTAAAAAAGAAATTCGCCATATTGAATCCGCCATTTTGAATATTAAAATCTGAATACAGATTTGTAAGCAGCGACCACAAAAAGTCCCTGGGAGACTAATTTTTACTTAAATTGCCTTACCTGGTCGAAAGTAATGTTATTTTCAATACGTTTATGAAACAGCGTATGTTCCATTAAACATTAAAGGTTAAATTTGTATATAAATTAAATTTTTTGTTTTTGGATATTAAAGAGCAGTATTTAAGCTTCAATTTGGTCCTATGCGGAAACATTTACTGTTTCGGTGTATGGTTTAACATTTATTCAAAAAATGCCAAAAATGCGTATTTTGCGTATTAAAACGTAAATTGCTTGAAAACTAGAGCCAATCCAATATTTTCAAGGTCAAATTCGGATTCTACGGACAAAATCCTATAAGAATCGGCTTCCATTGGTTGAGCCACAAAATTTTGTTGGCCTGTGTAATTTTGTTAAAATAAAATAAATCAGTAAAATCAATTAATTTAATTTTAAAATATCAGAGACAAACAACATACTGTTGGAATCAGAAAAAAATGAGGATTTTAAAAATAACATTGAAAATTTTGTAAGATCAAAATTGATAAATTTTGTACTTTATATAAAATCATTACCATTTGAAAGTCCCATTCAGGTATGAAGGTCATAAATTACCCTTTGGGTCGTGTGGGCCCGAGTTCGAACGGGAAAGTCTGAGATTGAGAAGATTGTCATTGGCTATTTTCTAGCGAAAAAAAATAGTGAGATGCCATTTTCAATTTTTTCAACGCCCCAAAAGCAAAAAAAACTGCGCGACCGAGGGTATTCTCTCGTTGGACAGAGTATAGAAGCAGAATTATAGACCTATATCTTTTATGATTTGTTTTGAGAAAATGAAAAAAGAATTTCTTTTTAGAGGGTTTGTTTAATACATATTGAAGTGTAGAAAAAAAATTTTTATTAAAAATTTTATAACAAAATGGCGTTAATAAATTTCATATTCAAAATCGACTATTTTTTTACGACCGGAATAGTTTTTTGAAAAGTTTAAGTCCTGGAACAAAAAACAAAGAAATTTTATAATCTGTATACTATAAGCTTTGAAAGTACATATGGATTTTTTAATTGGATGTAAACTTTATTTTTCATAAACAATTTACTGTTTATTTTTTGGCAAAAATAATATAAAAAATTGTGTTCAATTCCAAATGTAGCATAAAAAATATTCTTACTCTCCTATTACATGGAAATATGATAAAACTTTTATTATTATTAAAGTTAAAATTTTTTTTTTACATTTGAAATTTTCCTGCAATTAAAAATAGTAGTTTGTCGATTGCTATGTGTGCAAGTAGACGCTAAATGTCAAAACGATACCTTTTGTAAAATTCATTAAATCAAACTGCGTACTTGTTCGAAAAACTAAAAGTTGGAATGTTTATTTTTTTCAAAAGGTAAAAAGTGACTATTTATTTAATCGAAAATTTCAATAGTTTGTTTGATCAAAATCCAAAAAAGGCAATTATCAATGTGTTCTTTAACGTTCGAGAATTTAAATGATTCTTTTATTGAATTAATAAATTTTTAAATTTATAATAAATCGAATTTTATTTGTTATGTACATTTACTTTTAAAACTTGATTAAGACAATAATAATGGGCGTTATAAATTCTTCTCAAATAATTATTATGTAGTGTTCATTACTATACGCCTATAATTGAATTTTTTTAAACAATTATTAATAAATTACTAAGCAAAATAAAACTTAAGTTTCGAAGTGTCTATTTTTCTAATGGAAATAGAAATTAACTTTTTTTTAATAAAAACTAAAAATCATGTCATTTAAAATTTTTAACATTAGTCTAGTAACGACTAAAAACTATG